AATGGCAACACTATCATCATCATACTGTTAGCAACAACAGTGTATACAAACAACCATACTATAACCACAACGACAATGGCAACACCATCACCATTATACTGTTAACAACAACAACAACAACAGTGTATACAAACAACCATACTATAACAGCAACAACAATGGCAACACCTTCACCATCATACTGTTAACAACAACAGTGTATACAAACAACCATACTATAACAGCAAGGACAATGGCAACACCTTCACCATCATACTGTTAACAACATCTACAGTGTTAACAACAAAATTTGTTATTCAATAACTGCAACAGCAATGGCAACACCAACATCTTACAACAAAAACAACAACAAACAATATTGTCAAAGACATCCACCACCACCATACAACAACAATGACAACAACATCATTGACAACACCACCACCACTATACAACAACAACAATATTTTCCAAGAACATCACCGCTGCCATACAACAACAACAACATTGTCCTAGAACGCTATACTACAACAGCAACACCACTATCACCACCATTCAACACCAATATCAACAACAACAACAACAACAGCATTGCCATCACCACCCCTACTATACAACAATATTTTCCAAGAATATTACCACTGCCATACAACAACAACATTGTCCATATAAGACCGCTATACTACAACAGCAACACCACTATCATCACCATTCAACACCAATATCAACACCAATATCAACAACAACAACAACAGCAAAACATGTATCTATCTTTAACCTTTTATAATGTTACATTTATTTACCTGTTGTTTAGCAGTTGTCCACCATGTCTTTATTATTTCTTGTACTCTGGTATMATGGTAATTTTTAGTTGTCTTCACAGATATAAATATGTCTTCTGGCTCAGTGGGACGTTGTTTTGATTTCTCTACAAACATTACTTTATTCGCCAYGTCATCTGTCTGTGGTGAGCTTAATACCAGTTTTTTTCTGACACTCCGTGGTTTAACTTCTGAAGTTCTCGCATTCKGCACAGGCGTGTGAAATAATTCTGTATTATCGACTTTGAGCTTCTCAAGTTTTCTCGAGATAATTTTTTGACTATTTCCGGTTTGTGAAGTTAAATCATCAGATTGAATTTGAGATTCGAGATTTTTTTTAGTTCCAAGATTTCTTAGCTTTCCCTCTACAGGAGAACTATGAAGATTTTGTTGTTTAAGTCTCTGAGATAAAAATTTTCTCGGAACGCTTTCAAATTCACTGAACAGCATAGCGTACAAAATAATTTGTCCGAACAAAACGATAAATATCCATGTAAGCAAAATTCGGCATTTTTTTCTTTCCAAGAGCATCATACCTCTTTGATTATAAAGTCCTGAGCGCTTCCACTGGTCTTCAAGGGTCAATAAATGGTCATAATGAAGAGATTTTCTAATTAGAAYCGGATTATTTGAAGAAAATTAACGACGAAGACGAAGCCAAAGCCTTGAACTTCTTGAACGAAACACGATCTTGAGCTTGACCAGAAAATATCCCTCGAGTAAGATCTTTGCCAGCTTTAAACTCCTTATTTCTTGTCTTGTCAGGAATCGTTAATCTTCGGTCACAAAGTTATGAGTTCCTTATTAATGGTGTATAAATAATGCCGTGATGAATGATCGATCTGTGCCCTGTATCAACAACACGAAATTATCTAATTCTTTGGACTTCAAATTCGGTAGCATAGCAACYCGTTATCAGTGTTCATAGATATTGGACTTCTAAGGCTTTCCCAAACTYATTTTATGCATTGAAAGCCATATTTAGACACAGAAGGATAAATATAGTCTTGGACATCAGCTGTAGAAATAGCAAGGTTCGCTAAACACTTGAGATTTTTGGCGCCCTTGGTTCTCTTTGCAGGTGGTGTATACAAACCCGTGCACGTCCCGTGGATTCCCGCGTGTAAAAAGGAATTTGCGCGGGAAAACATGACCAAATTTGACAAACTTTATTGTCTTTATTTTTAAGATTTCATAAAATATATCAATTTGACTAAAAAAATTTGGCTTAAACCTATGCATAAAATTCTTCAAGTGTAAAATTAAACTTTACTTGTTCGCGGTTCGCGGGACGGTACCCGAGGGTTTCGGGTTCTTGTCAGCGGCTTTTAAACAAATCCAAAATGGAGGACGAAAAGAACACATCTCAAACAGCGACAAAAGAAAATAAAAAATCTCGTAAAAGAAAAAGTAATATCCAAAGTGGRATTAAAGATCAAGGTAGTAATGGATGCAAAATCTTTCTGTGTAAATTAAGGATATTTTTTACCAATTTATTCTCAAAAAATCTAATAATTTCAAAAGATTTCTTGGCATGTGCTCTGATCTAAGAACCGCGATTTTTAAATTCCACAGATAATGATATTATTGGTTGTTTACAAGAGATTTCGAAGTGTTTTGGAGTAGGAGGATTGTATTCCAGCAAGAAAAGGTACATAACTTTGTCATACYTCATCCGGATTATCAGCTATTTATACCGATTCTTATTTTTCTTCATAAACTATAAAATTATTAACCTATTCTTCGTTTGCAAATAGCCGCCATGTTGGAAGAATTTGACAAAAGATTTTTCAACATGGCGAACATACCTTTTGTTATTGTGCTCTCTTGGGATTGATTGCAAACCAAGAATTGACCAGCGTATAATTATACGTTCTTTACTTAAATTTTCCAGGAAGATAGAAACACATAAAGAAACATTACCAATGCTGAATGAAGGTGAATCCATTCCTAATACAATCGAATGAAGATTACACCAATGATGCTAATGTGAATGACGACACTGATAATAATAGTAACATATATTGAAGAAATCGAGAAAATGCGTGCACTTGATCTGTGCAGTTACAAAGCACAGTATGGGGGTTGGCAGAACATGAGAAAAGGGTTAGGAGAAGCACAATGACATGTATAGTAGAGTGCTTCTCAACACTTCTCGAGTGTTCTGCCAATCCCCAAGTGCTTTATAACTGTGCTTAATAACAGCACAGCAATCAAGTTTTTTTTTTTTTTTAATGAAATACAAATTTTAAAAAACTTTACTTTGGATAGCAATTATACAACTGAAACTGCATGCGCATGCTGTGTGCTCTTACAAAGCACGTGCTCACAACCAATCAGAATTCAAGAATTATAACAGTTATTTTATTAAGTCACTTTTGAGAGGGGGGTGGGGGGACGACCCCCAACCCAAGAGTTTGGCTAAGATCATAATTTTTCTTCTTTTTTTTTCTATTTTGTT